TCAGTCTAGTTTTAGATGACACAGCAACTGTGTGCACAGTATTACAGTTGTCTCAACAAGAAATCTCCCCCCACACACACACATATATATTTAGCCTAAAAAAATATTTTGCTCACTGTTATCCCATAACTCCTAGACATAGCTGTTTGAATTATGCTAAACAATTCCTCTCCTTCCTTGTGTTTACAAAGTGCAGCAACCCTGAACTTTCAAGGACCAGGGCTAATATTTATGGTCTTAAGAGAACTTTGAACTAGCCCCGATTTGGGGTGTGTTTTGAATTTATGCAAACATTTCACATAGCTATACTATCATTCCTTTCTTCCATCGTATAATGCCTCTGCACACGATAATAAATATCATAATACAAGCTCAACATTCAACTTGTCCATTATCTCCCAGCTCTCTCAATATTCCCTCTTGCAACACAGCATACACATACTGCACTTGCAATTTACACCTGGGCTAGATTCACAAAGGAACTTAGGCGTGGTTACCTGCCATGCCTTTTAGGTGCCTAGAAAAATCAGTGGGATGCACAGTCCTGGGCTAGGCATCTAGCCTCCCTATATAATGAATGGAGAGGGACAAAGGCCTCAAAATGGGATTCACATAAGCCAGCATCTTAGGCAACTCCTCACCAAAACTAGCCAATGGGAGGTGCCAAACTGAGGGGCTTGTGCTAAACCCTTCCTCTCTCTCTGAAATAGGTACCAAAATCCAAGCTGCAGAGAGGCACCTTCTTCTGCTTGGGATTCTTATCTGAAAACCGTGTCTTGGCATTGGGCACCTACCTAGTTTCAGCATGAAGCCAGGAGCAAAGGAGGAAACCACCTCCCTTATAACTTTTAGCCCAGTGGTTAGGGTAGTCACCTGGGATGTGGGAGACCTCCAGTTCAAGTCCACCCTCAAGCCAAAGAGGAGAAGGGATATGAACAGGGATCTGCCACCTCTCAGGTGAGTGCCCTAATCACCGGGTTATGGGATATTGTGACATGGGGTTCCCCCAGTTTCTCCTATTGAAGCTGTTCCATGGTGGGTAAATAGTTAAGAAAAGTCATTGGAGCCAGGGGACTGGACCCTGGATCTCCCACCTCCCAAGTGACTGATCTAACCACCAGGTTATATAGTCATTCTTATGTTTGCTCACACTCGCTTGCTCTCTGGCATAATGATTCTTTCACTGTTTATTCACAATGCAACCCCTTCAAACACATCAAAAGATCCCATATCCCAGTTAGGGCACTCACCTGAGAGGTAACAAATTCCTTCCCCCTCTTATGTAGGTCTCAGCAGTCTCCCACATGAGTACCCTAACCACTGGGCTAAAAGCTGTGAGTGTGCTATTCCTCCATTTTGTGCAAGCCCACATATAAGGACCCAATCCAGTAGGCAAGCTCAGAGCAAACCGACTGGACTGGGCCTCACAGGCAAGTCAGGCAGACAAACCCTTATTTTTCCCCCATTTGTGCAACCATCTGGGGCTTAGGTGGCCGGATGCCCAGCAGGGGTTGAAACATGCATGCTCAGAGGCAAAAGTTTACCTGAAAAATTGAGGTGCCAAGTGAGTTTACATGCCTACAGTGCTGGGCAGCAGTGGTGTGGAGGTTTTTTAGATCTCAGTGAAACCTGATTCTGGGATTTAGGCACATAAAGTGGCAGCTAGGCACCTAAGTCCTTTTGCAAATCTAGTCCTACTGCCTTATTGCCTACTCCCAATATTTCTGGTTGGCTGTAATACTGTAATAAACTGGGGTGACAAATGTGCAGAAACACGCAAAGTATTTTATACTAATATTTATTTTATTAAACACAATTCAAATACCTACTTTGCAAGCACTGTGAAATTTTAAGGCTATACAGCATATTTGTTAACCTATCTGAATAGTTGTATTTGTACTTTCAGGTATGAAACCAAACCCTGTTCACAGTTAAGCATGCACTTAATTGTACTCATGAGAATAGTCCATAGTTTCAGTAGGACTACTTATATAAGTAAAATTATGCATATGTTTAGGTTCCAAGTCTGAAAGCATTACATGATTTTTCTAAACTTATTATCTCCTAAAAGGCTGAGATTTTTATACAGAGATTTTTTTCTTCCCTTGCAAACAAAATAAAATCAAAATGCACCAATTCCATAGCTTTTTGTTTTGTTTTTAAAAAGAACTTGACTAGCAATTTCTCTTGGATAAGGGTTTATTAATGTCTTCAGAGAAAATAAAGTCTCTATACCCCACTAATTCCATCATGGGGAAGTAACATTGAATTATGTTCACATAATAGGCTTGGCAATCAATACAAGGCCTTCACATTTATTTATAGGTCAAATACCAAACAACAGAGGAAAAATAAAGCAGGCTATACTGTATACTTAGGCCTTTCAGATGAAAAACTGCTGAAATCCTTCTACCAGTCCTTCAGCCTGGTAGGGCTTTGTGAGGGGCCACCCAAACTCTCTCTTATCAGGTCAAGTGCAAGAAACTATTGTCAACAGGAGTTAATACCTATTGAATCTATTAGCTCTAAATAATTTTTAAAAATCCTTCATTTGTGACTTCCACTAACTTCAACTTATGCAAGACTATTGTTTTCGTCTTTAACATATTTTTATTTAGAATTTTAAATAGTTTTAATTATATTTCATTTGAATTGTGTCACATGTGTGGGAAAAAATAAAATTAAGTAATATATTTTCCGAAAAACATTTCTTTCATGAGGAAGCCACCACAGTCACTAATTCTGGGAAACCAAAAGGCATGTTTTGATCTCACACTTTCAAGGTATTTGCCAAAGACAGTAAACATTTATGGTCCTGATCCTACAAACACATATGTGCTGAACTTTGAGTATGTGACATAATGTGCTTAAAGTTCAGCATATGCATTAGTGTTTGCAGGTTTGGGGCCTAAGTGAGCTGAGGCAATTAGTCTACCCTCCAAAATACTTTCGGGTTCAAACACTTCTCCATATAATAAAAGCAAATATGATGGGTTAAAGTGTTGTTCTTACAGATATTTCAAAATAATAAAAGGAAATTATTTATAAAAGGGTGAAACTTTCAGATTACCCAGATGCTTTTTGAAAACTGCATCCTAATTCACTTCAGAACCAGTTTCCCAAACTTGTTTTACACGAGCAAAGAAGCCAGGCAAGTGAGAGAATGTGACAATGAAGGAAATCACTAAAAAGAAAGCCAGGTTGTACTTCAAAGTGACAAGAAGTACCCTGTAGTTTAGCAGACATATTATGATCAAAAGCATTTGCCTTTTTTTTTAAATCATGTGGAACTTCTTAAACTAAGCATCGCTAGACAATCCATGCAAATAAAGACTAAAGCCAAAATAAATCAATCAACAACAGCATTAGGAAAATACTACATCCTCCCATTATTTATACATCCCTTGCCTCGTGTCTCAGAGTAAAACTACGGTCACCTCCAACTGTCAGCACATCAGTGCGGATTTTGCACACAGCAAATGATCTCAAAACCATACAGCAAAAGAGCAAAGCCCAAGTGCGCCTTCATTGTCAACATGAGCAAAATGCGAGCTCGGACGTTTCGGGAAACGTTCATCAACAAACCCCACCCCAGGACGGACCTGATCCACCCCCCCTTCCCTGACACTAGTTTATTAATCGAGCTATACCGGCATCTCGCTAACAGCAACGCAACTGAGCCGCCTATTGGCGAGCCTTTGGCCTAGTAACTTTTGGGGAGGGAGAAGCTGCAGAAGAACCAACCACCTGCAACCCCCCCCCCGGCCGAATCCCTCCCACGCCCAGGGGCGCCTCCGCGCCACCTTCCCTCCCGAGGGGTTCACACGCCGCTCCACGCGCGCAGCTGAGCGTGCCCCGCTGGGCCCGTGCCGGCCAGCGCGCTACTGCCCCGAGCGCAGCGCGGTAACAAAGGGCCGGAGCCCCGGAGGGCTGATGCGCAGCCAGGGTAAATAGGCGTTACGCTGACAGAGCTCAAAGAACCGAGAGCCGCCCCCCTGCCGCTGCAGCCCGCTCCGCGCTGCCGGGGTGACTGACAGAGCGAGCGAGCAGCGGACCCCGCTCCCTGCCTCTCCTCCGCTAGCTTTGTGTCCTCCCCAGCGGGGCCAGGAAAGGCGAGCCAGGGACCCCGACCCGCAGCGCCCGGCCGGGGCCGCCCCTTACCGTGAGGGGCGGAGAGACGGGTCCGGCGCGCTCCGAGCCCCCCAAAGCCCCCTTTTCCCCGCACGCCGAGAGACTGCGCTGCGAAGCCCCTTCCTGCGCTAGCGCCGCTGGTTTCTCCCGCTGGGTCTCGGGCGCTCCGGCTGGAGGAGGGGAGTGGAGGGGAGGAGACGGGGGCGGACCCCGCAGGTGCCGCCCCTCCTGCTCTGACAGCAGGGGAACCGACTCAGCTGGGGGGCAGGAGAGATGGGGGGTGGTCGGGGCGGGGGGTGGGAGCGCGAGAAAGGCGGAGCTGGGGGGGGGGAGCGCGACAGTGGTGGAGCTGGGGTTGGTCAGGGCCTGGGGGGGGGAGGTGAGAGGTTGGGCTGGTGGGAGGGGGAGGTGGGGCCGGGGTTGGTCAGGGCTGGTGGCGGGGGGGGAAGGTGAGACGTGGAGTTGGGGTTGGTCAGGGCCTGGGGGGGGAGGTGAGAAGTAGAGCTGGGGTTGGTCAGGGCCGGGGGGAAGGGAGGTGAGAGGTAGGGCTGGTGGGAGGGAGAGGTGGGGCCGGGGTTGGTCAGGGCTGGTGGCGGGGGGGGGGGAAGGTGAGAGGTGGAGCTGGGGTTGGTCAGGGCCTGTCTGGGGGGGGGGGGGGTGAGAGGTGGAGCTGGGGTTGGTCGGGGCCGGGTTGGGGGGGGGAAGGTGAGAGGTGGGGCCCGGGTCGGTCAGGGCCGGTCCCTGGGGAAGGAGGTGAGAGGTGCAGCTGGGGTTGGTCAGGGCCGGTCCGGGGGGGGGGGGGAAGGTGAGAGGTGGAGCTGGGGTTGGTCAGGGCCTGTTGGGGGGGGGGGGCAAGGTGAGAGGTGGAGCTGGGGTAGGATGACCAGGTGTCTGGTTTCGGACCGGAACACCCAATCAAAAAGGAATCCTGGCGGGTCCGATCAGCACAGTGACCAGGCTGTTGAATGTCCGGTTTGCAGCACCACAGCAAGACTGGCAGGCTCCCTGTTAGCACCGCAGCTCCTAGGTCACGAAGCAGCGGGCATGTCTGGCTCCTAGCCTTAGGAGCTGCCAGGGTGGGGTGGTCCACATGCTGCCCTGCCCACACACAAAGGACACAGCTGCGTAGGGCCCCAGGAAATTTGGGGCACCAAATTTCCTGGTGCCCTGCACAGCTGCATGTTGCTCCTGCCCCTGCCCCTGCTCTGTCCGTGCCCCGCCTCTTCCTGCCCCTGCTCCAATTCAGCCCTGTCCCCACTCACCTGAGGAGTGCGGGCAGGGCTGGGCCTGCGCTCACCGGCAGCGGGAAGTGCAGTGGCCTGGCCCCAGCCATGCCGCTGGTGAGTGCTCGGGGGAGGTTCCCCGCCACACACATCCCACGGGGGGGGGCTGCGTAGGGCCCCAGAATAGCTAGGGACAGCACTGCCCGCAGACATAGCTCCCATTGGCTGGGTCAGGGTAGGGGAGGAACTAGCGCCATTTGCGAGCGCTCAGCAGGCAGCTGTTCAGGGATCGCATGGCGCACGCTTCTTCTGTTGCTGCCTGGCCCTCTTCTCCTGGTGTGGCTGGGCTCAAGCTGCAGCGCGTGCCCTGCTGTGAACCACGCGATCTGTCACCCCATTGCCAGCACCCAGGAGTTGGAGGTATGTGTATCCCCGTCTCTGAATGCTGGGAATGGGGGCTGGACCCCCATCCCCTTCACTGCATACGTCCCCACCCCCACACTCCCATCCCCCTCATTGCATCCCTCCCCATCGCAATCCCCCCACACTCCTATCCCCTTGTCATTGCATCCCTCCCCTGTCCCATCCCATCCTGACCCCCACATCTACCCATCCCAGCCCTGTACCCCTTAGAGTGCTCTCCCACCCATTCTCTCCACCTCCCAGAGCCACCATCCCCATGACCATCACCCCCAACACCCCTGCATTCCCATCCACCCCACATACCCCCCCATACCACCTCCTCTCTCCTTCACTGCCCCCTCTCACCCCCATCCTGCTCTTGTCCTTCGCCTTTTCCCATCCCCATCCTCTCTCCTCCACCCCCACCTTTTCCCCTCCAGCCCACCCTCCTCCCTTTCCTGCTGGGTGATTTAGGCAGCCCCTGGAAAAGTGTAGGAAAAACTGTCTCTGTGTGGGCAACTGTGCGCATGCATGCATTCATTGTATGTGTGTAAGAAACCGTGTGTCTTTGTGTAGGAAGATACATGTATTGCCACATGTGTGTGTACCTGTGTGAATAAAATTAGCAGCCAAACTTTGACTTTTATTCCTTTTGCTGGCTTGCACACACAAAAATTGATGACATAAAATGTGTGTGTATTCATTTCATAACAAGTTTTTAAAAGAGAAAGAATTCTAAAAGAAATGTATTATTTCTTAAAAGGTGACTGTTGTTGGCTAGTAATTGCAGAAGAGCCAATGTATCATACGTTTCTCCCCACCTTTGTCTAGCTACGTACAGGGTTGGGGGTGGGGGAAGAAAGTTGGAGCTTGGGGTGGGGGTGGTGGTGACAGGTGGAACTGGGTTTAGTCAGGGACTGTCTGGGGAGGCAGGTGAAAAGTGGAGCTGGGGTTGGTCAGGGCTGAGAAGAAAGGTGGAGCTTGGGTTGGTCAGGGCCTGTCATGGGGCAGGGGGTGAGAGGTGCAGCTGGGGTTGGTCAGGGCCTGTCGGGTGGGAGGGGGAAAGGTGAGAGGTGAAGCGGGGGGTGGTCAAGGCAGCTGAAGAAATTCAGACATCTACACACAGATTGCAAAGCGGATGCTAAGCCTGGCGCACAGCGGTGCTGGATGAAAGAAAAGGACCATTGGCAGGCATATCAGAAGGCAAGGGAAGACGACAAAGCTGAGGCCACCCCACAGACCTGCCACTTCTATAATTAATAGCATGCCACACTTGGTGGGGATAATGCCAGCCCCCCAAATGTAACTGTGGACACTTTGCATGAGCCAGGTACAGGGAGCCCTGCAGTACGCAGTGGGGCTAGGAGGACAGGACACCAAAGAAGATGCAAACCATGCCTGCCAGGTGAGCACAGCAGATGAAAGGGATGGGATCTCAGTAAGTGTATGGATGCGTTATTCCTTATAACCCTGTTTCCCTTTTCAGTGACCAAAACCTACTCCCTTCCTTCCGCCTCCTTTCTTTTATTTTTAAAAATGGTGCCCATCCATGCATCTAGCAAGCAAAGGCATAAACCTTTGATTCCCCAATTTATTTGTAAAATGTTTGAAAATAAATTCAAAAACAGTCCACATCTGATCATGGTTGTGTTTTTCTAATCAGCAGCCTTTGGCAAAGTGACCTTGAAAGGTGCCCCTTCCACACCAGTTGAAAGTCTGACCGACATCAGGCAAAAAAAGAAGTAAACTAGGAAGGATATCCTCTGTGAGATCCTCCAGTCTTTTACAGCTGTGAACAGAGACTGGAGGGGCTGAATGTACAAGACCAGGGAGGACTAAGAACTGCTGGAAGAGAGTCAAATAGACTGAGAGGTGCAGCAGGAAGTGCACTATGATATTATGGCTTTGATCAGGTAACAAACACAAATGTTACAGAATATTACTAAGTTACATGTCCAAAGATCCCAAACACAGTAGCCCGTGAAATCCATGAAAGTGTTCCCTGCACTCCCTGTAATAGAATGCAGCATGGCATCAACCCTTACCCCCTACCACTCCACACCAAAGGAAAACTAGGAGAACCATGACTACACTACACTCCACAGGATCATTTGCAAAACAGCCACAGGATCATTTGCAAAACACACCACACTACTTATGTGTTTTTAATATGTAAACATGTAAGCCAGAGGTCTGAATGAGCTCTCTCCTGCCATCTATTGATGAACTGGAGGAAAAGACCTCACGAACAGACCTTATTTGCATAGACCCACCTGCTCTGCCAAGATGATCGCTTGACATACCTGCTTTTCCAAAGTGATGGATTTTGGCTGTTTTAGGTTAAAATTCACACAAGTCATAAAAGCAGCTGTAATTAAATGTTGTTACCTCTATTGTATGACTAAAAGACAGCAGAACTGTATTTAATATGCCCCAATTGAGGGGGTCACCATAACTAACTTCACTTGCTAAGCATAGGGTAATAAGCCACATCCAACTGCAAGACAAATATCCCTACCTGGTGTTCGAGGGTTCTAGCTCCCATTTGATGAGTCTTTTTTAGTGTTTTAAGGTAGAGCTCATTAGAATCAATTCAGAAACTTCTTTCTTAATAACTACGGGAGCTGATATGCTGATTTAGGAACTGGGCCTTAGGCCTGGTATGAGGACAGTGTTGTGGTGAAAGAAATGCAGAAGAGGTAGTAGTAGTGAGGTTCTCTACTACCCAGTGAACTCACTAAGGTCTGAAACAACTAAGAACTGGACTAGGTGGTGGAACATCAGAATGCAGTATTACAGCTAAAGGCGGCATGGTGAAAGATGTAGCAGTAGCATCGAAGGCACCCTTTACTCAGCAAATCCTAAAGTTGTGATTACTGATAGCTGGGCTAGGTGGTTATGGTGCTGTAGGACAGGACCAAGGACATTGCAGAGGAATAAGAAGTGTCAAAGACAGTGGCAGCAAAGCAACAGCAGTGGAGGCAGCTGGAGGTCAACCCATCTGAATGCACCCCTGGACTCAGGGATTTTGCTCACCTTGGACAACCACCATGATTGGGGTACAGCAGAGGGAAAGGGGGAGTGGTGCATTAAAGAGATATTTGTCCATTGTTATATGCAGTGTTGCTGTAGCTGTGTCGGTCCCAGGATATTTGGGAGACAAGGTGAGTGAGGTAATATCTTTTATTTGGGCCAATAAAAGATCTCACCCACCTTGTCTATTTGTCCATTGGACTTTCACCCCGCGAGGTAGGACACTGAGGCAAAGGACTACTGCCAAAGGTAATGTGGGATGTGTATTTACTTATTGTTTGCATACTTAATCATTGTTGCTGTGTTCCTCTCCCATTAAAAAGTCTTTTTTGTTGTTGTTGTACACAGACTCAGTGCTTGCAGGTGGGGAAGTATTGCCAGTGAGAGGTGCCAAGTGCTTTTCCCAGATATCTGAGTGGGAGTTGAAGCCTGTTTTGTAAGAGGAATCCCTAGACATTGACCGCAGCCCTTGTTGCTGCTGACACCATCTGGCAGAAGGGTTATACAGTTTTTTTTTATCTTGGTTTTTATAAGTACCCTATTATAGTGCTGCTGAAATATTTTTAACTTTGTGTAGTTGAACTTTAACTTTGTCTCCTGTTTATTTGCACACAATAAAATTACATTTTGTGAAATAAGGTATATTAATTAGTTAACACCAAGCATAAATGCCACATTACAAAAAGTAGGGGTTTTAATGAATCACAAATTGAGTCAACACTGTGATTCAGTTGTGAAAAGGGCTAATATCATTTTTGGGTGTATTAATAGGAGTGTCGTATGTAAGATGAAGGAGATAATCGTCCCACTCTACTTGGCTCTGGTGGAGCCTCAGCTGGAGTACAGTGTCCAATTCTGGGTGCCACAGTTTAGATGTGGACAAATTGGAGAGTCTAGAGGAGATCAAACAAAAATGAAAAAGGGTTTAGAAAACTTGACTATGAGGAAAGGTTAAAAAAACTGGGCATGTTTAGACTTGAGAAAAGAGAACTGATGAGGGACCTGCCAACCATCTTCAAATATGTTAAGGGCTGTTACAAAGAGGGTAGTGGTGATCAGTTGTTCTCCATGTCCACTGAAGATAGGACAAGAAGTAATCTGCTTCATCTGCAGCAAGGGTAGTTAGTACTCAGTTTAGTAAGCCCTACGTTTCTTTGCTATGGATGAAAACAAGTGTTTGTCCTAATCAAAGTTACTCCACATACTCTTAGGGTACAAGATGAGTTTTCTGGAAAGTTACAAGTAAATATCTTCATTAGCTCTGCACAAATTGTGAGGACCCTCATACCATTGAGCACTTTATGCCCATGGCGTTATTGGTATTCTGTAAAGTATAATTAATTGGTATCAGTGTTGGTCTCTGGAGATAATGTCGTAACGTGAAATCAGATAGAAAGACATTTAGATAATTAAAATATTACAACAAATTACATTGCTTAACAATGCATAGAAATCAAAAAGTGATCAAGGTGTAGGCATAGAGTATGTGCTATTCAAAGCTGGGTTATTCTAATCTAAAATACTTGCAATATGTTTAACTCGGTTACTGTGTGTGTATACTGAAGCACAATTTTTCCTCTATCAACAATGCAAATTGTTTAATATCACTGAACAGTATTTACTATACTAGTTAGAATGTTCCGATGTTACTCAGAATTACTTTTTTTTTTTTGGAGTTGTTCTTGTTTTGCTATTTTGGAAAGAAGATTCGGTTTTCGTTCACCATAAGTTTTTTCCTCCACATAACTACTTCCTATTTCATCCTGCCCCCAAGTTGATGGACACTTCCTATAACTACACTGTCCAGGGTTTAGAATGGAGAGGAGAGAAATGTCACATCTGAAGTATTGTAGCTTCATGACTGGATATTTTTTGCTCCCTCTTTAAATTTCTCCTCACTTTCTCTGTTTCATTCATACCAGCCTAGGATTTGTAAATCAACAGGAACCAGATCCCTTCCAAGCACTACTTTCCACAAAAATTGGCCAACAGGAGGCAAGCAGGATAAAAATAAAAAGCACTCCCCTTCCTCTGTGGAGCTGTGTGTGTGAACTGCACATTTCCCAATCTTGCTGGCCTCTGAACTGAAATACTTTGATCAGGAGTTCAGCTCAGAACCCTCTCTTGGCTAGAGCTTACATTTATATCTCAACTAGAGATGATGCAAACATTCACTGATAACTGGATTCATCTGTACTCAGAGGGGGTAGGTTAGGTGTTGCAGTCCTATTAAAATATTAGTCTCTGCTATGCTTTGCTTGCTGCATATGAACTAAAACTCTAGATTTCCATACTAAAAAATCTAGGCATGCTAATGTTTCACTTTGGTTCTCCTTTCGAACTAATCTACCAAAATCTGAATATTTAATGCAGGTAAAGGTTAATATTAATATTTCATGGGCCTGATCTTGCATCTGTTTGAAGTCAGTGTCAAAGTTCTCAGTTACCTCATTTGGTACATGATCAAGCTCCATAGGGATCAATACTTCTTTGTATGATGCATCTAAACAAATGTTGTGGATCTGCATGAATCTTAGCACTCTGTATTTACTATTTGTTGTATATACTCTTAATGTTAATAGTACTGCAGTATCTTTGAGAGGCACCTCTATGTCAAAATGCATAAGGGATGTTCCTTGCCCCAAAGAGCCTATATTCTATGTAGACAAACCAGATAAAGGAGGGGGGGGGAAGTACTGTAGTAGAATTAATCAGATTTCATAGATGGGGAACTGAGGCACATACAGATTATGTGATTTGCCCACGGTCATGCTAGATGTCTATGACAGAACTAGGAAAACAATGTAGATCTCCTAAGTCCCAATCCAATGCCTTAACTACAAGGTCATTCTTTCTCAGCTTTTCTGTGCTTACTGCATTATTGAAAATCCTCTAAAAATAAACACTTTTTTTAAAAAGTGTCTATTTGCATCAAGGTTTCTGGCATTAGTATTCAACACTGCTGCCACAGAGAGAAGAAATAGACACGAGATAAGACACATGAAGATGAGAGAATGTTAACATACTTCCTTTATCTCTCCTTCCACTGAATCACTCTCGCAATAGAGCCTAAATTGAGCAACTAGCCTGTAAGATGTTTTGCTGCTGGTTTTGCAGTGGCACAGAGTCAGTTAAGCTATCTGTTTTAGACACACAGAATGTGTGTTCTATATTTGCTGCTAGCCAGCCAGTAGATAGATTTTGTAGAATGGACAAAGTTAATGGGACAACTATTTCAAAGAAAGAAAAATGTCACATCATTTTCCATAACTATGAGAGAGCCAGTCCCTACTCTCCCAATGGACTATTGCCCCTAACTATTTCCCAGTCCTTCTAACTCTAGAGATTACTTTCAGATTCTTCCATTTTTTACAGCTAGCTAATCAATAGTTTGGACTGTAATGACAGCTCTTTTTTCTCAAGTTGGCAACTGGCATCTCTGTCTTGCAAAAGAGAGATTTTTGATAGTGAATATGCTGGTGAATATACCAGTAGCAGCAGAAAAGATGTTAGCATGCCTACCTCAAGGTTGGTGGTTGAACCAGAAGAACCTGTAGAACGTGTGAGATTGGGTTCACAGGAGAGTTGATGATCAAATCTCTTTTCTGGACTTTTTCCTTTTCTCCATTATGTTTGATATTTTTGAAGGACTATTTTTAGGACTATTTTGAAGGACTATTTTATAAACTATTAGGTAGAGCTCTGAAGTATTGGCTCTGAAAATGAAAACACTTAATTTGCCCCTTTTTTATATGTAGAGCTACTGTGAATAAAAGGAGCAGTTTGTGCAAAAGAATGTTGTGTTAGTTAAAACTTGTCAAAGTTGAGCATGAAGTTGACACTTTTTGTGTAAATTTTGCATAAGATTTTCACAGTGCAT